CCATGATCCAAAGCCCTAATCTTTGAATCAAACTTTCTTAAGTTTATAAATCACACACACCCACAATAAATTCATTAACTAATTTAATGAAAATCTAATGTACCTTAAAAACTATCGGGTGTCTGACAATTTTTCTTTTTCCCTCTCAAATAAAATATGTGTTACTCCTTTAAAATATAGAATTTAAATAACTTCGATCCCAACTCAAATAAATTTATATTAGTACTTATTTTATTAAACTTATAATCACATACACATATAAAATAATACATTAATTAACTTAATAAAATATAAGTGTTCGGCCTGCCCTAGGACCTCACTCTTGACGCTCGAGTTCCTCTCGCTTCTTCCTTGGGTCCTAGCCTCGACACAGCAGTGCTTGTGTTCCTCCTCTCCTACGCAGAGGTAGGGCACGAGCTTCGACTCTCGGTTTGATCTAGAGCCGCTCGCACGCTTCTTCTTCCTCTCTATCGACCTCGTCTTCCACCGCATGCGAGAATGGTAGCAGCGTACAAAGTCGATCCTCCTTTCTTCCTCTTCGTCGTTGCTCGAGTAAGAAGCAACAACTTCGATCCGGTGCGGTAAGTATCACACGACGAAGAAAACCGCACGAACCTTCTTCCTCCTTCGGCTTCGGCTCGACCCAAAAAGGTGCGCACACTGCTCCTCTTCTTCTTCTCTCACAGAAAAAATCCGAAAAATGAGGGCTGGGAACTAACCCTCCTCTCTTCTTTCTCTGATTTTTCTTCTCTCGCTTACTCAGTCTCTTTCTCCTTTTGTTCGTTAAGTTTGTCGAATGAGTGGGTCGAATGATGATTGAAATGGTAGAGGTTGTGATTAGTCCCTGTCAAGGGAAAGTAAAAAAATTGCGTACGTCAAAGGATACGCAGAGATGCGTACATAATAGAGTACACGGGCGTTATATTGGGGTTACATGAGGGTTACAAGCGTGTTATAACTTCCTTGTAACTTTCGTGTAACTCAGCTGTAACCCGCACTTTTATTTTATTTACAAGTTTACAACGTGGTTACACGGGAGTTACACGAGAGGTACAACGGGTTATAACTCGCTTGTAATCCCCGTATAAACCCCGTGTACCCTATTATGTACGCATCTCTGCGTACCCCTTGACCCCCTGCCAAGAGACGTGTCTTTCTTAACATACACTTATTTTTATTTTATTTTATTTATTTATTCAATAGTATTATTATTTATTAATATTACTATTCAGTTATTCTTTTTTTAAAATTTCAGTTATTACAGGATATATCTTGTTGTATGTTTTTTTTTTGTGATGATATTCTTCTCGTGGATAAGACGAGAAAGGGAGATCAAGAATAACTTAAATTATGGAGGTCAATGTTAGAGTATAAAGTCTTTCATTTGAGTAGATCTAAAACTGAACACATTGAATGTAATTTTAGTAATTGTTGGTCTAGTGGTGGAGTTGTAATAATGTATGATCAAGTCTTTCAAATAAGTGAATAAATATTTTAGATATCTCAGGTCGAGTTTTTCAAAGTGTTGGTGGTATAGATCAGGATGTTATTAATATAAGTGGAAGAATGCATCCAACTTATTGTGTGATAGGAAAGTACCACTTAAACTTGAAGGAAATTTTATGAGATGGATGTGAGACCTGCAATGCTTTATGGAGCAAAATGGTGGCCGATAAAAGAGAAGCATAAAATCAATTTGTGTTGTTGAGATGAGAATGCTCAGGTGAATGAGTGGTTTTACATTTAGAGATAAAATGTGAAACAAATATATCAGTGAAAGGTTGTAGTAGCTCCGGAGGCATAAAAGATTAGAGAGAGTCGCCTAAGATGGTTTGGTAAGATTAAACGTCGAACATCTGATGACCCTGTTAGGAGAGTAGATGTTTTAGATTTCACTTATGCTAAGATAGGTAGAGGTAAAAAAAACTTTGGCATGTTGTATAAAAAATGATCTCAGTTTATTTTAATTAAATGAAAATGCGTCTCAAGAGGACATTATGAAGAAAAATTATTCATGTAGCTTACCCCACTTAGTGGGATAAAGGCTTGTTGTTGTTAATGTTGTAGTGAATACCTTTCTAAACCCTATGGTTGTCTTCCCTCATGGCAGATTTATAAGTTTTAATATATATATTTTTTCTAATTTTTTAAAGAGCCTTCATCTTTCTTTTTAAAAGCCTCCTTCCATTAAAAAATTTTTAGAGCAACTTGCGCATTATTACAAATCTTCATATAAGGTAATTGGGTGGAATAAGCTCAATTGAGAAGTGAGAGATGCTCGTAGGTTATATAATATGATAAGGAAAGTTTAATTTGTCGCTTGTCAAGTACAATTGGATGGTTAGAATTGATATTTGTGTCAATTTTTTGGTTTCTAATAACTCAATGTTGGAGGAGGGAGGTTTGCTTGAAATTTAACCTAATGGGTGTATGGATTCTGCATAGTGCAAGTGGTTGACAGGCTCATTAAATGAAAATTTCTTCTATCTCAAATATACCATATCAAATGTTTTTAGCATATTATTTTCTTTGGTCACCTTTGTAATGTCATGATAATTGTGAGATGGCACCAGTGTATATATATATATATATATATATATATATATATATATATATATATATTATATGTGTGTGTGTGAAGTTTGGAAGATTTTATATATATCTTGGATAACTTACCCACCCTCTCTATTATGAGATATGAAATATGGCTGAAGTTCACATAAAATGGCATCCATTGAACCAAGTGATGTTTTGTTTGAAATAGGATCAAATCATTTATATCATTTCTATCTTTTTTGTTTTGGAGCATAATCAACAAATACACAAATTTTTAATTGTGGTTCAAGTTTTCTTGGTATAGTGATGTGAATAAATTCAACACACCCAAATTTCTTTAGGGAAAATCATGACGAGAGCCTATTTGACGGGTAATTTTTATGAAACACATCAAGGGGTGTGTTTCAAACTTTAGGCTTCTATGTAGGTTACTTTTCATAAAGTATGTGGCAGGAAGGATTGATTCCCACAAAACGTATTTTGGTGCCTTGTTAGTTTCTCGATCACCCTAGTTTGCTGTAGGATATCAATGCATAAACTTTGATAAATAGTCCTATTTTTTGGAAAAAAATTGATTTAAACAAATTTTAAGGTATTCTCAGCTATTATCACTCAGGTAAATTTGAATTTTTTTTTTGAAATTATGTTTATACAATGGTATAGAAATCATTCAAGATATTTTCCACGTTATGTTCTTTATTCATCAAATGCACCTAACTCGTGTGATCAATAAAAATTATGAATCATTTTTTATTAGATTAGATTTCAATAAGATCTCTCTAAATCCAAGATGAATCATGGTGAAATGAGTGATAGGTTTGTAGAATTGTGTAAAATAAGATGAATGATAAAGTTCAGCATATCCACACACAGACATTTAAAAAAGGGAGACTTTTTATTTTGAAAAAGACTTGGAAAAAATTATTTTAAATACTAAAAACTAACATGATATATTCTATAATGCCACAACATAATATCCCTTTCATTAGAGTCTGAGATTTAGAAAAAAATTTGATATGATTCATTCTAGGATATTTATCCTTGAAGTGATAATAGTCATTATTTTGTCTAGCACTGCCAATCATCTTTTCCAAGGTCAAACTTTGAAATTCTTAATGATAAGAATTATAATAGTTTGACACTGATGATTAGAGGTGATCTTACCAATGAATAATAAATTTTCTGACGACTTGACAACATGAAGTACATCATGAAGGCTATAACGAAGAGGTGGTTTGATTATTTTTATCCCAACAATAATTGTGAGAGAATTGTCTGGAAGTTTGATCTTTTATTGCCTGCACAACAACGATAAGGGAAGAACAATCTAGATCAACCCATTATATGCTTGTTTGAGCTCGAGTCAATGATTCACATGTGAAATGCTTTAGTATTGATACTAAAGCATGCAATAATAAGATAAATACCCTTCTGATCTAAAGAGGAGGATGATTATATAGATAATTTTAAATACTGAGATTACTTTTACATGTTACAGAGGACTTACAAGGATCTTCGGTAGATGTCAGATATCCTCAACCATCACGTGGACTTAGGCTTCCAATTTGCAGGTTTTTCGTGAAGTTTCCGATACGACTCCTTAGTATGCCATGACTTCTTACAGTGCTCCCACAATAATTTTTTTGAAATATTGTTTTTGGAGTTATTACCTTTGGATATTAGAGTCAGTTTTCAGTTTAAAGATTGGAGATGCTTCCTATGCTTAATAGTATAGTTTCCTTTCTTGCTTCTCCTCACATCTTACCTTCGAGAAATCTTCTTCAATGGAAGATGAGGATTTTCTGAATGCAATCTCAAACTTCATCTAAATCTTGATTGAGGTTGGTAAGGACGATGTAGACCTTACCATTTTCTTCTGTTTTCTTGTGACCTGCATAGTCGTTGGAGCATTTCCAAACATTATCATAGCAGTGGCTGATCAAGTTCTTGTTATTATATTACCAATTCATTGTAAAAGATGGTAATATCACGATCCTTTTGTCCGGATTGCGAACGTCTAGTTTTTAACTCAAATTTTTATGAGGGATTTTTCATAGTAAGATAGGATGGGTTAAGCTGACCTCACGAGCTGTAGTTAAAGAATATGCACAACTTTCCCATGATTAGTTTCATTGAGTTGATGAGCCGCACAAATCAATGTAGGATATTCAAAAGTGCTATGTAAGGTGTTTTAGTGTGTGTGTACTTACACACACACACACACACACTAGTGATTTTTCATGTGTTTGCATCCAACTACATAAAAGTAATAATTGTGTCCTTGTTCTAAATTAACTTGAGATATTCTTAGTTTTTTTTTTTTTGTTGGCTTGAGGAGCACTTGATTATATTTATGTTGGCTTGAGGAGCACTTGATTTGATTATATTTATTTATTTGTTGAAGTTTTGTTTTTTACTTATATATCTTGTTCATTTAATCTCAGGCATTCTGTGATCTAGAGACAATATTCTCATATGAAGGCACTTATGATATCAACAGCATGGTAGCTGCAAGAGAAATAACGGGGTTTGCTTGCTTTAAGCCTGTTATTTTAACCAAAGCAAGCCGCCTCTAGCAAGGTTCTAAACGCAAATATTCACTCCACTAGAGGCTAACGAGATTCACACCTCATGTTTAATAAATATTAATAAACGAGATGAAAAATTTCAAATAATTGGAGTTGAAGTAGCAGATAGCTAAAATATGTGTCTTTTTATAATAAATATGTATTTTATTTTAGGTTTAATTATCCTAAGGCTCAGACTGTAGTGAATGCTGATTGTAGGCTTGTGTGTGTGTGTGTGTGTTTTTTTTTTTTACTTTATGTTGAGAACTTATTCTGATACTAGTGTCTTTGGATTATGATGAGGATTCTATCCCATTAAGTCCGACAACTTTGAGCGACTCACAACTTCTACAAAGATGAAATCTGAATTATGTAGTAGGGAAA